CCATAGTTCAAGCGGTTAGTCGCTGGCTTCACATCGCGGCGGCCCTAGTTCGATCCCGAGTCTGGTCAAGTGGGATTTGTGGTGGACAAAGTAGCGCTGGGCCGGGTATTCTCAGAGTATTTCGGTTTCCCCTGCCAATCTTCATTCCACCAAATTCTCCATCATCATAATCACCCCGGGCAGGCTACAATAGGCCAATCAGTGGCCGCCGTGCCGAGTGGACCCAACTGGACTCCACCCCCCACTAAGCAAAATAGGTCAGTTCTTTCAGTTGGGTGAGTCAGAGCTACTAGTTACATATGTCAGTTTCTTGGTGTTTGTAACAGAAATACGTTTACTCTAGACGATAAATTTCCTTTGTGTACTTTTCGTTAAACTGTTACCTTTTTTGTTTTATCTTTGCATTTCCTTCTATTTGTTATGCGCTCGATTGTTTTCCTGAAATACGCCTATGTTGTTGGTAAGCAGTCTAAAATTAATTGAACTAGTATAACCATTATTGTTAACTTAACATTTGGATAGCATTAAATGATTTAACGTCGATAACAGTGACCGCGGGGGCTGATGGCATGGACTGATTTCGCTCGCTAGAAACAGTGGGATCGTGGGTTCGAATCCTCTCTCAAGGTATGAATGTTTGGGTTTGTATATTCTGTGCTTCTGTTGTTCTGCGTCTAGGCAGCTGCTTGCGACGGGCTGATCCCCCGTCCAAGGAGTCCTACTGGCTGCTAAGATTAAGAAACTTAAGTGAAACGAAGCGTTTCACGGATGCCCTGTGCTCCAATTGGGAGCAATAGAGACAGATAGACAGACAAACAGACAGACAGACTTGATTTAGCTATTTCTGTTCTTTACTTCTGTCCGAATATTTGTTTGTGTTGTGGTTTTGCATCTGTGCTGACTCTGTAATTGACCCCTGACTGTTGAGTTCAGCAAGTAAATAAATATATTATTATTACTTATTCATGGAGCTGAGCCCTTCTGGAGGAGTCGCTAATTCTGCAGCTACTCAAGAATTTTCCAGCATTTTATGGAACCCGGAGGTTCATCACCGTTTTCACAAGAGCCCTCCACTGGTCCCTATCCTGAGCCAGGTCTATCCAATCCATACCATCCTATCCTATCCCTCTAAGATCCATTCTAATACTGTACACCCACCTACGCCTTTGTCTTCCCTGTGGTCTCTTTCCTTCTGGCTTTCCCACCAATATCTTATAAGCATTCC